TTTTAAAAAGAGAGAATTTGCTTTTGACTAGGTAGGTGAGATGCAGGTGACCTGGTGGCTCTAGGTACACTCTGCTCTAGCTGAATGCTCAGGCTAGACCTGTAGGACGGTAAAGAGTGCTGACGTGGGGAAATAAAATGAGCAGCACACTCGAGTGCGCTGACAAGAACTTACTGAATAAAAAAAACAAGTCTAACACTCACTCCCAAAGTACAAGAATGGCTAGGTGTCTGACAGGGGATTATGGTCTACAGCTATGATTTTAAAACCAAAATCATTATGTAAACGTGCAAGGGCCGACATGTTTAAACATACCTTTGCCTCTTCAAGGCGCCCAAGCGCTTTAAGCAGGTTACCCAAGTCACTGCGTACACAATACAGATCCTGTAACAAAAGACAGAAAAAATAAACAACTACCAACTGATACACACAAGACACACTAGGGCTGGGTGATATACAGAATATTTACAACTCATTTCATATTTTGTTATAGATACTACACTTTAGTAGCATTGTGAACCAAGTGGTGATTATCTGGCCACTAAGGTTCAAACTATTTAAATGATTTGATCCAAAAACCCTGCAAACTTCCTGATATTGTTTTTCCTTTGTTTATTATACATATTCAAGATAACTATAATTTTTAAGGGTCTAAGCCATTGTTTAGGCTTCTTACACTCATTTGAAATAATGGTTACACAATAAAACACTGAGATATTGCATATCATCAAAATTTAATTTTATTTTCTATATAGCGCCAGATAGGGGTGGGCGATATGGCAAAAAGATCATATCACGGTTTTTTTTCAGAAATATCACAATTCACAATTTTATCACGATTCTTTGTCATGTTGGTTTTACAATTTTGCAAGTTGTTTGAGCAAGTTGTTTGAGCAGTACAGTCTACAGTCTAATTAACAGAAACTAATTTCCCTATTTTAAAAACAAAGCCTTTCAAGGCAACAAAGTATAAAATACAAAAAGAATGGCAGATAAAGTGAGCGAAGATAATAAAAAAAAAATTCATTATTTTATCTTTGTTATTAAAAATAAGAACAAAGATACACATTACAAATAAACAATACAAATAAAACAAACAGTGTTTTATTTTTCAGGCACAGTAGGTGTATTTAGCAGTAGCATTCAAGAAATTGAATTAACAAATATAAAGAGTGAAACACTATATACATCAACAGTATCAAAGTTCTTCAGTCAAGAGCAGTGAGTGAGTTTTCTATTTATGTTTTATTAACATTAAAAGCTTATAATTCTGTCAGTGTTTTATTTTTATACCATCATTTACTCACTCTCAGGTTGTTTTAAACCTGAATGAGTTTCTTTTTTCTGTTGAACGTTATCTATTTGATAATTTATATTATTAAATTCAATGTGGACCAGCTACTGTTTGGTTACCCACATTCTTCAAAATATCTTCTTTTGTGTTCAGCACAAGAAAGAAATTAATACAGTTTTGGGACAGCATGTGAGTGAGTAAATAATGACAGAATTATAATTTTTGGGTGAACTATTCCTTTAATGACAGTCGGCAGCATGTTTAGTACTGTCGCTTTAAGAGCTGCACACATCTAATATACAGGCACGCATCCGTTTTTCTCTCAACCATTTAACTTTCCTTTTAGACAAAAGCAACTGTGTTTATATGTAAACCTTGTGTGTTTTTGACAGTATTAGCGCAATCAGATGCGATACATAACTTAGTTCAGTAATCAATGTTGACTCAATAACCACAACTGTTCTTAGCAATAACACTCTCTGCACATGCGCAGAAGATAAAACATAACTTAACAATCAGGCGCTGTTTGACAGGCTTTTAGTGTGTGCACGCTTCAGGTGTACGCGCACTGGAAAAGCACATCAGAACAGCACGCAAATGAAATAGATTCCGTTTTTTTTTTTTTTCCTGGACTCCTTTTTAATGGTTAAATGACATTTTATTAATCAAAAAGCATGTCTAATTAATTAAAATCATGAAACTTAAACAATTTAACATCAATTTATTAAAAGTTTAACAAATATTACGTTTAGGGCCCTATGAAATGTTTTATTTGTCCAACCTTATGTTTTATTGTAACCAAATTCTGTTTTAGCATGTCTAATTTGAAAGCATAAAACAAGTTTCATTTATTCTTACAATAGCCTTATGATTTTTTTGCTCAGAAATTGTGTTGTGTATTTACATTTTGTTTTAAGGCATAAAACATTCATTTAATCTATCTTTTAAGTAATGAAAATTAAACAAATTAAATTTTTTGGAAAATAAAGGTCATTTAATATTACAATTAAAACATTGAAGAAATATTGAATGCCTATTCCTTAAAAATAAGGTTTTAATAACTTTAGTAGTAGTAGTAGCAGTCTGTTACGTACATTCTACTCAAAAATAGTAATATATTTCTGCCAATGCCCTCAAGTTAAACCAAACGTTTATTTTGACGGGTTGCCGTGAATACATTTACATTTCTGTCTGTGTATGACATGATGATATGTCCTCATTAGTGAGACGGCAGAGGGTAATATCACCGGAAGCGTCACAAGCGCTTCAGTACGAGTACTACACAAAACTTAAATATGAATCGGAGTGGGCTTACACGTGTGTGTGTGTGTGTGTGTGTGTGTGTGAGTGAGTGAGTGAGCGCGCGCATCGGGCGGAACTCCGCTGTGCGTGATACAGAGAGCGCGACCATAACGTAGAGACTGAAATGACATGTTGTCGTGTAAAATAAGATAAATAACATAAGGCTATTTAGTTTGCTTAATGAAAGAACAAGGTATAGACATGTTCTATAAGAAAGGTAACTTTAAATGACTTCTGTTGTGATCTGGCGCTATAGAGAAAATATAATTAAATAAAATTAACTTGACCTTCCAGGGGGGCGGGCCCCCCCCCCTAAAATAATGGCAGGGGAAACACTGTGTAACTGATAGAATGTGCGCTGTAGCACGATATTACAATATTTCTCCAAAAGCAGATTGTGGAGACATTTTTATCGTCCACAATCAAAAATCACCATATCGCACACGCCTAGCGCCACATCACAACAGAAGTCATTTAAGGTTACCTTTCCTATAGAACAGGGCTATACCTTGTTCTTTTATTAAGCAAACTAAATAGACTTGCTATTTATCTTATTTACATGACGGCATGTCATTTCTGTCTCTACATGGTCAGGCGTTTACAATTCTCCTCTGCTCTCTGTATCATGCATGGTGGAGTTCTGCCCCGATGTGCGCACGCTCACACACACACACACACACACACACACAGGTGAGCACACTTCCACCAGCGAACAGAGAGAGCGCGCGTGTCGGAAAATGTTTCCCAGGCTTTAACCAAAAGCTGTAAACCTATTCTCTGAGACATTTTGAGGCTTAACTCACAGGATTGTACTGGAGAGCGGACACATATGCTTGAACTGCTCCCTCCATGTCCCCTGCTGCCACCAACGCTGCTGCCAGGTTGATGTATCCATCGATGAAGTCCGGTTTGAGACGGAGCGCGTGGCGGTAGTGCTCGATGGCCTCCTGAAGTTGACCCCGTTCCTTGTAAACGTTGCCCAGGTTAGAGTAGGCCTCAGCCAGCATGGGGTTCTGCTTGATGGCCAGAGTGCTAAAGTGGGCAGACCTGCAGAATTAAGAATGAAAATTTAGAAAAGAAAATGAGACTGACATATTTCCACCATGTGCAACAAACACATCCCCTATACTGTTCCCTTAAAGAAATGACCCAGGTTATTTGGAATTGAATTTTTTATAGAGAAAATAAGCATGCTATCAATTAAAATGATTGTTATTCTTGCATAAACAGTGTTATGTTTACAGATTTTTAAAACATTTTCAGAGGACGGATTACAGTTATTGCTGTGGAAAACTGTTCTCACTACTTCTCAACTTCCATTATAATGAGATTCTACTTCTACTGGGCTGTGAACTTTCATAAAATTTGTAAAATTAATTTGTAAAATTAAAGATCACTTTCTTTGAAATGACTGTATGTGCACAGTAACCCTAAGAACATGGATTACACAAGTAAATAGGGTCCATTTTGGTTTCACGTTGACTCTACAAAATGTATTTTAATCAGAAGGCCACAACCTTCATTAGCAATATAAAAAAATAATAATAACTGCCTCTTAAGGCAGGCCTGAGAGCACAGCCTCACAAACACCACACCACCAATCCTTCTTCCCAAAGAGAAGCAGTGAAGCAGACCCACAGACCGTGCTCCTTGAAGACAGAGCAAAGGTGGCCATCTCACCTGTCAAGCCTGCGGCACTGGAAGTGGATAGAGGAGAGCAGCAGCAGTACGCCAGTATTATCCGGCTCCTGCCTCCACAGCTGCATACAGTGGCGTTCAGCCGCCTCAAAATCTCCTGACTGATATTCACGGTGCGCCAGCTCTGCCAACCCTTGGAAGGAAAGCATACGTTTGGTTGGTTCTGAAGCACCAACGCAACCCAAAGGAGGGGGGAAACAACATGTTAGAAGAAATGGAAATGAGATAAAACTAAATAAAAAAACAAACAAAACAGACAAGAACAGTGGTGCTGTTTTAGAAAAATTAACGCTATAGTGTGGAACCATGTTTATGCTGTGTTATATATATATATATATAAAGCAATTGTCACTAGGGCTGAACGATTTTGGAAAATCTAATTGCAATTTTTTTTTACCAATATTGAGATTTAATATGCAGTTATTTCTTAAAGCTCTTTATGTTCTGTATTATTCAACAAAGACAAGCTATAAATCATTGTATAGTATGACCAACACAATATTAGATAGATTAAACAAATGTTCTTTTCTGTAGGCCAGGCCTATATGTTATAATGAAATAAATTGATATGAATGGGATTTTTATTTAACAACTACAATCACAGCATATTGACTGATTTGTTGAACTTCCAACCTTGTAAGCATGTAATAATTATGACAACATAAAGCACTGACAAATAAGCCTGGTGTAAACATTAATATGAAAGTCAGTAACAAATCACACAAACTAAAGTAGATTGCAGAAATATAAAAACAAATCTGTTGCTTTACCACACTACTTTAGGTCATTCAAAGTCACTGTAATAAACATATGTAAACATGTGCACTGCACTAAACACTGTCTGTTAACTTTAGACCAGTGCTTCTCAAACTTTTTTTGGTCGCGCCACCCTTTAAATCTATAAAAAAAATCTGCCCCCCTTTCCCGGATCCCCATTCCACCTCAGACTATCAAATAATTTCACTATTCACATTATGAAAAATTAATGCTTTTTTAATTTAAAAAAAACTTACAGGGAAAAAAAAAAAACACCTGCATCATTGAAAAATAGCATAGAGAGAATAACTGTTGTTATTCTCTCTCTGTTATTTATTTATATTTTATGGGTTTCATGCTGTCCGCTAAAGCGTAGGACACACACAGGCTTTCCTCCTCACCAACGACATTAAACACGTGTCTACACCGGACGCGAGCGGCAAAATACAGTAGAACCACTGATCTACAATAGAGAAGTCATTATATATAGATCAGTGAGTAGAACCCATTATAATCAGTGACGCTGTCTACACTGAATGCGGCGTGACGTGACAAAGCCCGACACTAAACTGATGCCTCGTTCTATTTATGACGTACTACTGACACAAAGTTAAAATGATGTGCACCGGTCGCTTTATCGCGTCCAGTGTACAGCTGTTGCGGCGCGGCAACTGTAGCGTCCGGTATAGACCCGGTGGGTGAAGCCGAGAGCAAGATATGCCTGGTCATATTTTCTGCATTTAGCTTTTGAATGACCAGCAGCTGCCTGGGTCTGTGCGACTTCATCTATGGCTTTTCTCTTCACTTTCACAAACCGATCCATCTCCCATTCTAATGGCGCTTTTCCACTGTGTGGTACGACTCTGCTCGGTACGGTTTGCGTTTCCACTGCAGTTCAGTACCGCTTTAGAGTGGGCGGGATTATTAATGTCATTATAGTTGCGCCGCCTCTACTACCACGACTCCTAAAAAAATTTTCATTCCACGTCGCCCCATCAAGCTCTCACTGGATCCGCTCCTCTGCTATCAACGAGAGGAACGTCTGTACTTCCGCAACAGACAACAAAAGTTTTTGGTTGTTAAAAAAAGGTGCGTTCACAACAGTTGTGTTCGGTCCTTCGCTGGCTGGCAAGTTCAGTGACGCAGTAGAGACGATTCTCTCCGGCCAATCCGTGATCAGCAGAGTTTACACGTCACGTTTTGGTAACGGTACGGTTCACTTGGAACCCCAACCAAAATGGTACTAAAAAAGTACCAGGTACTGTACCCAGTGGAAAACTCCCCAAAAGTGAACCGTACCGAGCCGTACCGTGCAGTGGAAATAAGTTACGTCCTTTGGCTGTTTACTGTTTTATTTCTTTTCTTTTTCTGCTGACGGCCCGCGCTCGACTTGAAGCAGCGCTGCTTAGACCGATGGGTGTGTCATCAAAGTACTGCGAGAGCTATAAGAGCGCGGACGTCTCCTTATGCTTTCTCTTGCCGTAGTTTAATGACACACACCGATCGATCTTCAAGTCGAACACACCTCTTTACTCTCGCGTGTCACGTGACTGAGTGTAATCGCAGACTCTGCGATTGAAAAATCACGTTTTTTCATATCGTGATATTATCGCAAATGCAATTAATCGTTCAGCCTTAATTGTCCCTACAAAAAAAAAACAAATTTTCTAAAACTAGCACTGATGGTTCCTGTAATGATGATAGCACTTTTAATGTACTGCCATCAAAAAATAAATAAATAAATGTATATATATAAAAAAAAGTTTTTATTTATTTTTATATAAAACTTGGCAGCTAATGATATAAAATGGCTGAAATTAACACATTGAATGTTTTAAAATTATTAATGAATTAATAATTTAAACAAAAGTTATAAACCTTAAATTCAAATGCAAAGGAATCAGGAAGAAAATGAGAAACAGAGATGAGGTTTGATATGAATGAGTATTATGTGATATGAAGGTGCAAAGGACAGATTTTTAAAGAGTATTTGAGAACTAGCTTCCTTTCGATTCAAGAGTATGAGTTTAAATGAATTGACAGGAAGAAGAATTTGCATGAAATTAAAGTAAATTCAACACGGTCACAAAACAGAGTAATTTCACTAGTCCAAAAAAGCTTAGAAACAAAACTATATTTGCCTGATTAGCCATATTTAGCTCCATTTTAAATTAGAGCAGGTGCCCGTCATCGCCCATTAAATTAAACTTAATCATCTATCCAGCAATAGAAACTTTCCATATCAAACACTCAATATTAACACCATTTAAATGTTTCTAGAAATTACCCACGTTGTATAATATTACAACATATTAAAAGGTTCTCAAAGTGAAAATTAAGTACTTAAAAACACAAAGTCATTGCATTCTTTTTATCAAATTTCATTCCATTTCAATGTTAAATTCCAAGTTTGAATTACAATTTCGCATCCTCTTCGCTACCTACCTCCTTTCAAATTTTGGAATTGAAAATTTAAGGGGGTCATATGATGCTGCTAAAAAGAACATTATTTTGTGTATTTGGGGTAATGAAATGTGTTTGTACGGTTTAAAGTAAAAAAAAAAAAAACATTATTTTCCACAGACTGTACATTATTGTTTCTCCTCTATGCCCCGCCTTTCTGAAACGCGTTGATTTTTATAAAGCTCATCGGTCTGAAAAGCGAGGTGTGCTGTGATTGGCCAGCTATTCAGTGCGTTGTGATTGGCCGAATACCTCAAGCGTGTGATGGAAATGTTACGCCCCTCACCATACTGTGATGCCGTGTCCCGGCCGGAACGACGAGACAAAAACATTAAAACCCATTATAAACGAGGCATTTGTTGCATCCAGTGGAGACATAATTACTGATTATAATGACTTATACTGTCTTTTTACGCGTTGCGTTGCATCGCGCCGCGTAAACATAAAACCATGTCTGCATTTGTGATCAGAGAAATTACAAACTACAAGCACTACCCAAAACTCGTGTTTGAATCATAAGTGGCAAATCCTTTAAATGAAAACGTTAGGGCTGCACGATAACTCGCATGCGATATTTAACGCGCATCTTGTCAGAAAATATTGCATGCGATTTATCGTGCAGCCCTAGAAAACGTACTTACGAGAGTCAGAACTGCCAGTATTTTAGTCTACTCTCCTAGGATCAGTAAACAGTCCTCCATAAAATGTGCTGCACACATCTGAACAGTGTTGTAAATACAACTTAACCACTGATTTCTAGTCGTGGCCTCTTTTGGAAGACCAAACAAAGTAGTTTCGCTTTCACAACGAAACACACAGAGCCTTCAGGACATGGTGGCGGCAACAACAATACTACAGTGAGAATAAAAGTTACGCCTTCTTTCTTTGCGTGAACATTTGTGCGGCGTTATGCAAATCTTCCCACACAGTGAGGTAGGTATGTGGGGGCGTGTTAGAATGAGGCGTTTTAGGTAGGCGTGGCTGACTCAACTTTTATAAAGAATATCTCTTTGGATTTGAGACTTTCTCCAAAGAGAAAGGAAAAATTGAAATCGCATCATATGACCCCTTTAACACTAAATACTAACAAACATCACGTGTTATGACTATAAAAATATACACAGATACAAAAAGACCGTCCATAAGGCAACAATACACGAGGAAGCTGGACATCTTTTATAAGGACACCATCCTAATAACGTTAGTTGGCTGCTATACCCACCCTAGGCTTGAAAAGATGAGGAAAGAAATGATACTAACGTTAGTGTTGCTGACTGGAAATAATCTACTGCAACAAAAACTACTTGGCAGTTTACTCATGGCACGCAGTATTATAGCGCTATCACACCCGTCACAAATAGACTACACATTAAATCAATAAAAGCTGAAGGCCACCGTCGCAAGCGTTTCCATGTCGAGCCAAACGATCATTAATGCCATGGTTACGTTACCTGTGCTATCAGCCACGTTCCCCACCGAGCTCGCCATCTCTCCTTCGCTCTTCACCGAGTCCTGTGCGACGACTTGAGAGAAGATGTCAAATATAAAGGTCTCGGATGTATTTAATCAATTTAAAACTAGGTTCGGATATTATCGCGAGAAACGCAGAAATCTTCGGTAAACAGCCTGCGGTCTTCCTGCTGCTAAGCTAACGCTACAGGAGAAAGCGGACAAATTCACGCAAAGAAAACGCCTTAAATTGTGTTCTTCTCGACGTTACTTGCTCTAAGCATATATACCTTAAAGTCTTAAACCTTAAATCGAGATTGATGCTAAAATTGGCGAATTTATATTCGATACTTTCACCTCTGCGGTATTTTTAGCTAACAATGGCTTCCAGTCTCCACCGAAATGGCGGATGTGACCGGAACTTCTTTTTCGAAGAGGAGGGGCGGGAATGTTAAAAAAAATTAGGTCCACGGAAAAAATTGCGTACGATTCTTAAATAACTATTTTGAAAGCATTCTTCGACAATTGTGCGTTAGTGTATATATCAGATATAGACAACATTGAAAGTTTAGTCGTCTATATCCGTTTTCCAAGTCCAAGAATTGTTTGTGTATGGCGTAATCCGAAAGTAGACTGTTCTTTGGCTCTATATGCTGTATCATTGCGCGAGCTCCACTACACAGATCAGATAGTTCAGATGGGGTGCGGATGAATACTGCGCGCTGTTTAGGCGGGAACTCTCAGTCTACTAAACACCACAGATATCGCCATACTTTGAACAGCTGATTAATTACAGTGTCTTAAAGGGATAGTTCACCCAAAAATGAAAATTCTGTCATCGTTTACTCGCCCTCGTGTCGTTCCAAACCCGTATGAGTTGCTTTCTTATGTTGAACAAAAAAAAAGATGATTTTGAAGATTGAAAAAAAAAATACTATGGAAGTCAATGGCAACCACCGACTGCTTGATTACCAGCAATCTTCAAAATATCTTCTTTTGTGTTCAACATAAGAAAGCAGCTCATACGGGTTTGGAACGACACGAGGGCGAGTAAACGATGACCGAATTTTCATTTTTGGGTGAACTATCCCTTTAAGACAATATTTTTCTGAAATTGTATGTTAAATATACAAATGTGGCATTATCTAATTAAATTTGCATACGTTTCAATACAGAAATCTGAACATTGAACAAATCCCATTTCAAAATGTATTGTTTAATTATACTAGCATGTTAGAGATGAATGTTTTACAGGGGTTTTTGGGGATCTCCTTTAAACGCTCCATAAATCAGAAACAGCCAGAAAATAATAATAATACAATTCTAAAATAATAATTTTTAAAAATGTAGTTTTAGGAATAAAATATCATATAAATCAGATATAGAAAGTTTTGTCTATGTAAGTGCTAGATGCAAATAGATGAGAGTAATTTATAAATAAATACATAAATCCCAATAGTGAATATGGTGATATGATGAAAGGCAGTAATTTGGTACTGCATTAAAATGCAATTAATACATTTTAAACAAATATTGGTCATTTTCTTGTACATTCATTGGTTATTTTAAAACTGAAATGAAGAACTGACTTTTTCAAAACAAAGAAAGCCGAAATGAGTGTGCAGTCAGAAATGGAAGAGAGGAAAGAGAGAGCGCAAAGGAAGGTAAGCCATTAAGTTGAATCTGGAGTGAAAAAAGGATGAGGGGAGTAAAATGTAGATGTTTCAATATGTTGTAGATTTCATTTTCATCAATATTCTGTTAGATTTCATCAAACTGAATGCCGACAACAAACGGGGTTTGTTAAATGTGTTGTTAAATATGTTTGTGTAATAATATCTGTTAATAAAATTTAAAAAAAACCATGCTTTTGTAATTGCTAAATAAGATACAGCATCATTTTTTTCCAGCTAGCCCACCTTACCTGAGATGCACTTGTTTTGAGCATGATCTCAAAATGTTTATTGGTATAAACCTTCCGGATAACACATGATATGAACTGAATTCAAATGAAAATATCACAGCTGGGCCTTAATCTTAACTACGTAATAAAGAAAAAATCATCTGGGTTTCGAAATTATTTATTTAGTCATTTAGCAGACGCTTTTATCCAAAGCGACTTACAAATGAGGACAACAGAACAGAAGCAATCAACTGTAGTATTAAAACAACTAAAAACAGATCCAAGACTAAAAGCTAGACTTTATAAATACTACTTATACACATTTTAAAAATAAAGAAATTACATAAAAATGTCAAATGCATACAACAACATTTCTAAACTTAACATTTAAAACTAAAAAAACAACAACTTCCTTACACATAGTAAGAAATGGTTATAAAACCTGAAACAGAAGTGAAGCAAGTAATAGGAAAGAGGAGAAATAAAAAGCGATACTTATTCTTTGCCGGTGTCCTGCCCGGTGGAGTCGCACGGTAGAGTCGATGGTCTTTACACTCTTCGGTCTGCACACGAGGAGGCCTTCACGCGACCGCTGCCGCGGTAAACTAAGCTTTTTTATACCCGTCTAACAAAATACTACATTAATTCAGCTGAACACACTTTCCTTATTTTTTCCACAACAAACGGCCAAGCAAGCGCAGACACTGACAAGATACGCGATACAGAACGAGACCAAACGCGATATCAGCACGTCTCCACACAGTAAACAAAACAAGCGTTTCCAATTACAAATTACAAGTTTAACAAAAAGTGGCCAACTTTACATTTACATTTAATCATTTAGCAGACGCTTTTATCCAAAGCGACTTACAAATGCGGACAACGGAAGCAATCAAAACTAATATGCAAGTGCTATGACAAGTCTCAGGTAGCTTAATGCAGTACACCTGATTTTTTTTTTTAGGCTACTTGAATTCACTCTATTGGCAAGAAGTTTCTCTTTGTGATTATAATTTGTTTGTTTTTTTTTAAATCACAAATGATGGAGAAGTCTTTAAAAAACTTGTTTGAATCCTGACTGCCATGTCTCAAAGGTAGAGGCAGAGGGCGCTAATGTACTGGCAAAATAAACTTTGTGTGTACAGTATGTGCTTATTTCTAATGCGTTTGAGTCAATCTGCCATGATGCTCTGCCCCTATAAATCTGGCAGGGTTGTGTGGATAAATGGTTTAAAGTGGCCTAGTGCTCAAGTCATCCTCTGTTGCCATTCACAAGGCTTCATGCTTTCCTAAAGCAAAGGAAGTAAACATAACTGAATCAATTCAGCCTTACATCCTGCCCCAGCCTCTCTGACTGACTGACATGTCTACAGGGCTAAACCTGTGATGTGAGGCTCACTCACTTTTTTCTCTCAAGGGTCTGGGCCGATCTGTATGGGAAAGGGTTGATATCATTGCTAGAAAGGCTGCTTCGAGTGTGTTGATTCAGTGTGCAGGTTTGCCCCACTCCCCCTGCCATAGCGCTTGGCTGTTGCCTTGGGAAAAGTTGTTGTGCATAAATGACGTCATGGCCATGTTTTCGGCGATTGTATCTGACATCTTTTATCTTTGTGCATGCCCAGCTCTGGCCGAGCCAGGTTAGAGCTCCTGTTAAAGGGTCCGGTGTCATTTATCCACAGGCTTCACACAGCCTCTTGCTATTTTAAGCAACACGTGAATGCAAAGAAGGTCCCTCGGAAGCCGTCTATCGAACCAGCTCCCTAAAAGCGATGTTTTGGGAAAGCATTAATTACTGTGAAGCCACTTCACAACATTTGTTTTGCTCGCAGATCTGACGACCCACATATTTCAGGTCGTATCAGCTCAGTGTGCCCATAACACAATGACCGTGTTTATTGTAATCCTTTGAGTTTTTAACCAGCCCGCACTTTTTATTGTGCTAGTGTGGTGAGCTAAACTGTTGGTTTAGAGTTTGATATTTGCATTGTCATGGTTACTACTGTGTGAGCAGAGCAAATGTGTGCAACCAAAACAGACCGTTTCTCACCATTGCAGTGCACCAGACCTCTGCTTAAACTACTGTGTGCTTTAGCTCCTCTTATGCATATTCTCATTGCTGTATGCGTTGCCTACATGTGGTCTCTCTGAATGAGACTTGAATGCTATAAATTATACTTTCGTAAAGGTTATGAAGGACATAAACCAATTTAGTGTTTGTAATCGCTGTTTGCAAGCATGACTACTGCTCATACTGAGGGATAGTGACTGGAACAAACAAGGCCACAATATACTTTCAGTGAAATTGAAGCACATGTAACGTGTGCAGCATTTCGCTCTAAATATGGCTAATGCAGAGTTTGTTTTGGTGGTTCAAAACAACTTTCCAATGCAGAATTTCCAGAAAACTTCATGCAAGAAATTTGATCAGGTTCATTATTTTAGGGAGTCCATCAAAGTCAAACACAAGTGAAAACGTGTATACAGTGCAGCTGGTGCAAACATATCCACATCCCTATGATCTGATATTGCTCTGTTCTCACTGCTGTCTTTTTTGTTGTGTTATTGAGAGGATGGTGTGCAGCTATTTACATATCCATCTAAACAGCGTGGGCGGTGTCATAATGTTCACAAGCAGTATACTGTTGTTCAGCCTTTTCAAACGTATACTGAAAAAGTATACTGGCTTTTAAAATTCGCATGAAATAAAAAGTCATCCTATCAAGTTTCTAAATGCATGTTGCAGACCTTATAGTGAATTATGCATATGCTAAAAAAATTTTTCGACTTTATAATGTTTAACCAAAATGTCTTGACTTCTGTCTGGTGACATATCAATCTTAAACCCCTGTAAGCTCACATTTATCTACCTCCGCTTTTGAATGCAACCCCCACATCTCAACATCCAATCAATATGTGATGCACAGAATCAAGTCCCACCCTACATTCTTTCTTTTTCAGTAATCCAATACGGAAGAAAAGGTCTTTCGCTATAGTTTTAATCGCAACTTCAACCTAAGTATTCAACTTTGGCATAATTGTCTCACGCTGTTTGTGCTACGGACCTGAATGATATTTCAAATCATTTGGTTTGTTTAGTTGAGGTGTGCTATTATTATTTTTTAAGTGACTGGGTGATGCAATAAAATGGGTGAAAAAAATCTCAGAGACATTACTGGGTTTAGAGAAAATCGTAAAAATGTAGTATCACCCACAGTGTTAGGTGTTCTCTGTAATCTAATGTTCTCTGCTGTTTTTTGCCTGCAGTGGTTATTCTCTAGATCCTCTGATTCAGCTGTTTGCAATGGTGTCTCCTGCACGAGACCCATTATTAAAGAGCGTTCCCTTCCTTGCATGCATTTTTGGTTTTGGCAGCGACTGGGCTATTGAGCATGCCCATAATAATCCATCGATCCCCAACCGAATCTACAAATCTAGAAAGTATTGTAGCACGATAATTCTACTGTGGGCATTTTACAAAATAGAAAGTGGATATGCTACTCTTGACTCTAGATGTATT